AAACCAGCGACTGGATTTAGCAGGAAGCTCAGCATATTACATTGATGGCTGAAAATATTCAAAGGTTACATGGGTCTTAAGTAAAATAAGTCCCTGAGCATGTAAACTCTACAAATTAATGACAAAGAGGCATGAGACAAAACAGAGTAAATGCTATTCTTTGATTGCCTTTTCATGCAAAAGACAATGCAGCTGCACCACTTCATACCAAGTTGTGCGTGACTCAAAAATCTTGTGGTACCAAAGCAACAGATCTAAAAATCTCACCACATCCTCTTCACAGCAAGTGTTGTCCCTGCTTAGTCTTCATACAGAGTAGTTTATAATTTGTTAATATAATTAAGACTCAATTACTATTTAATCTTCCTTGATCTAGTGCCTGGAGCAGATGCACACAGCTTATGCAGAGCAAGGTGGGAGAGAATAAACGTCAGCTATGATGCAGGTTAAAGCAACCTGCACAGACATCCACAATTTTTCTGGAAGGTTCATACTTTCTCATTTCCCCAATGTATTTACTGGCACAAAGGAAAAATAGGAACTGCTCATTGGCAGTCTCCTTTCTGAGGAAAACTCACAGAGCTGGAAAATTGCTGCAAATTTACATGGTATCAGCTGATCAGCTCATTACAGCAGATTGAGGAAACATTCCCAGTTCTTGTTTCTTTATCCTTTGGGTAAATATTTATAATAAATATGTTCTCAAACTTGAGCAACTGTAAATAGCAACAGCCTGCTGCTTTTGAAAGCTTAGAACATTGGACCAATACTGCTATTTCACTGAGACTTTGAAAAAAAAAATAAATCATTACAATCACTGAATGAATACAGTTCTCAAGAGTAGGAATAAAGTATTAAAAGTAAAATAATAAAAAGACTCAGAAAAGAGAGTTTCAGCTTCATTATTCAGAGGATTTATTCCCGAACACCAGCATCACTTTAAAAAATTTGCTGAGCTTGAGGTTTTCCTCTGCAGGAAGAAGGATGCCACAGAGAGGTGGCAGGGTGAGCCGGCTGCAGCCAGTGCAGCTGCAGGACAAGTCACCTGCCGGTGGAAATCAGTGTATATGTGTGGGAGATGGACACTGTGCTGTTTCACACAAAATGTGGTCTCGTGGTGCATTGTTATTTCAGGAGGAGGTAAACAGTGATCAGCACAGACACAGAATGGCAAATGCTGGTTTCTCACCCCTTGATAAAATCTCTTCCCTTTTTGGGCATCAAAGTGTCTGAACACACATTTGCAGTAAGTGAATAAGTAGATTTTTTTGTGTGTGCCAGGGAAAATGGAGGCCCACAGAGAACAACCTGTCTACTTCTGAAGGCTGCTTTGCTCAGAGGGATCCAGCCCGACTTAGTCACTTTTCCTGTGGCAGGAAAGCCCCACTGCTGTGTCTGCATGAGGCTGTGCTCCAGCTCAGAAATGCCATTTGGCAGTACTACCAGCACCATGGTAACACAGTTCCACCACCAAGACAGCCAGCCCAAACTACAGGCAGACCCATGGCAGGTCTGACTGAACCTATTCAAGCAGACTTTCCCTCTCTATTTTCTCTGCTTCAGAGAGGACTCACTGTAATAATGTCATCCCCATGTTGATTCTTCAGCCAGAAACTTTTAAATCAAGCAGACAGGGAAGAAAAGACAAGTCTTGCCAGATTTCTCTCCATGAGGGAGTAAAAAAAGGAGATGTCGTCTGGAATTACAACTGAAAACAAAGTGCATTAGAAGAGAAAATGAGCTAGCCAGTAATGCCATTATAAATGTAAATCCAAACTGGCAAAGGAAACAAAAGGAGCTCAGTTGTTTTGGGTTGTAACAAAGTAACTTTTTGTTTGACTTCCACATATGCTAGTAATAGATGTAATAATAATAGATGTAATAATAATAATAAATAAATGTAACAGAGTAATAATGTGGGGCAGACAGCAGATTTAGCAAAAAACATTCAAGGTAGTAGGCTTGTATGATGCATGCAGAGTGGTTGTGTAATATCCCCTGAGAAAACAGAAACTACAGCAGAGGAAACCAGCACATCCTTCCTTATTCTCCATTTACTTGCAAACTACCTATATAGAAACTGTCAATGCAAAATTAACCTCTTGCCTTAAAATGTTTTCCATGTGTTGATTCTGCATCCAGTTCCAAATGTCCATCGCTTCTCTGGCCAATATGTAAGGAAAACACAATTGAGATGCATTCCACAGATGAGGGCAAGTTAGGAAAACCAGAGAAAATGACTTTTTATATTTTTTTTTTAATCAAACCTTTATGTTGCAGGACATTAATAAAGTCATTTAGGATACCTCATAGTAGTGACTGAAAACATGTTCCTTCCACTCACCAGGAACAACACAAGATGGTGCCAAGAAGTCGGCGTCAAATGTTATGTCAACATCAATGACAGTAACACAGTAAAAAGCACTTATTAAACACATTTATAAGAAAGCTGGTATTCAATTTACACAGTGTTTTCTGAACATCTACTCTATTTTTTTTTCCTGCATTTTGAAAAGCACATTTAAAAATATTTGAGAGGTTACACCTCTGATTACAAATACACCTTAATTCAGTCCCAAGAGCTGGCACTTCAACAAGCAGCGCATTACAAACCAGGAATATTAAGCTTGTTCATCTTTGTTCTGCTTCTTGTTTTTACCACACAATCAATCTCTGAATTTCTCAATAAATGTGTGCCCTTTTCCCCACACATATGAAGACTTTCCCCTCACATTCACTGCACACATTCACCCTTCAGCTGCAGTACAGACTGAGGCACAGGGATCCCCTAACCACGTTGTTAGTTTGCTGATGTGCTGCAAAAGAGGATTGGACACGTGCTCAGATAAACAGTCCTTTGTGCACATTTTATCATGGAAGGAGCTCTCTGCTGTTAGTACAGCTTCTGCAAAACCAGGGAACAAGCAGTCACTGCAGCACTTGTACAATCGTCCTAACGTGGCTTTTAGACATTTATGATACTTTATAATGAAATCCTTTGTTAAAACTAACAGCTCCTGTTAATCCTACAGTGCACTGTATTCCCAAGAGGCTTCTCTCTTAACTGCCTCATGTGTACAGGTTAGAGTATTTGTCTGAAATAAAGAAAATACAGTATGCAAAGGAGGAATAATTCCATAATAAATGGAAGAAATTGCCCTCCCTTCTCCTTGTAGCTGGAGTAGGGAGATGATAATCAACCCAGTGGGTATTAGTTCTTCAGTGGATATTGGTCTACAACATGGCAGAGAGCCATTTCTTCAAGATAATTGTTCTCCTTTCCATTCCTCCTTGTAATTTACCTATGCCTCCTATGATTCCTGATGTTCAAATATATCCTAGAGAGTTGATCTAAGCCATCTTGTCTTCTGATTTCTTTCTAAGTTTCAAACTTACCAAGAATGTTGTCTCAGTCTTCAAATAAGTTTTTGTTGGACAGCTACCAAAACCCAAACTTATTTAAAACAGAGAGATTAAGTAAACAACTTGATTTAAAAAAAAAAAAAAAAAAAAAAAAACACAAAAAAACAAATAAAAAACTACAGCAACTAAACACTAGTTCTATGTCACCTATAAAAACGTTCCCCATTCCAGAACTTGAACTACAGCTCACGTGTTGCACCTCAAAGCAACATGTGTCAGGAAAAGTACTGAATGGGATCCTATTTTGAAGTGTATATTTAGAAACTGTCACACAGATGGTTTCTTTTTTAAAAGGGATTGGGCATTAAGAAAAATGTACTGAAAGGATCAGGTGAAATGACAGCTAACATCACAGAGCAAGCACCTGATGTGCAGTAGCTGTTCATCTCTGAATTGAAGCCACCAAGCAGGAGAGAAGTGCTGATCAGCAAGGTGGCATCTGAGGAAAAAACAAGCACCATCTACAGCTGGACTCAGGCAACCTTTGGCTACTCAGAAGCAACTGGGGAGATGTTCTGGTTTTACCTCCCTTTTCCTCTAGGTGCATGCTGGAAGATCACTTACCTCACAATTTTTTTACTGACTTTCATGTAAGCGTGAAGATAAACAAGGCCATGATTTATGGTGTTTTTGAGGTTCTAAACGACCTGACCAAAGCCTTGGGTGGCTCTGCAGCTTGCCAGCCTTTCTATGTCTTTTCCAAACTTACAGACATGGGCCTATTCACAGGCATATTTGACTCTTTGCTTTGACACCTCTTGAAAAGAACTGGCAAAACTTCCTTCTTCCTTTTAAATTATCTATTTGGTACACTTCAGTTGGTTTCAGATGCCACCCAGCATGGACATCAAGTTGTTCCAATAAATGGTTTTGTTTAAATTTTTCTACCCATCACAAAATAGGAAAGACTGACATTTTATCCCCATTTCAGAGGAAATGTTGCTTTAAAAAAATCTGAACTTCTTAGCTGGTGCAAAAAGTTTCATACTCCTCTCTAACCTTCAGCTTTCTCACTGTTGTGCTCCTGACAGTATTTATGTGTAAGAGTCAGAGAAGGATTTTATAACCCACAATGACTTTGGAGATCAATGTCTGACTAATACCATTTAGGCATTTACAGGGATTTTAATTAACACTGATTAAATAGTCATCAAGAGAACTGTGTGTTGACTGTGCTGCATGCAGATAATACGATAAAGAAGGTGCCCACATCCAGACTTAACAAACATATTTGACTGTTTAATGTCCCTCTTCAGACCCAGTTTAACAAATATAACCTTTGGTGTGGAGGTGGGGAAAGAAAATAGACTGTAAGCTGAACAGAACATGGAGGCTGTGTTCTGCATCACCTACTTAACTCGAACAAGATTAATCAGATCTCTTTACCCGAGATGGTGTAACCCAGCTAGTACCTGCTAAGAAAATGTCATTGTTCAAAAAACACTGCTACTTGCTAAGCTGTTTGCTTTCTGTATTGACAAAAGATGTAATTAATATGAGAATGTCCTGTCCTTTAAAATGCACACTATATTAACGGGTATTCTTTCAGCTTGTCTTGGCAGAAGGGATAAAGCAGATCTTGCACGAGCAGGACAGCTATCCCAGAGTCCCACCTGCTGTTGTTGAGTATCTTCCCTTTAAAAACTGCCACTTCCACACGTCTGTGAGTAGAGGTGGAACTGCTGCTCAAACACCCAGTGCCCAAATCCACATTCTTTTTACAGTGACGTACACATCCACTTAACAGCAGCGCTGCAAGTAGACATATAGTCCCAGTTTATCCACTTTTTGATAAATTTCAGCTCTATTTTTAGAACTTTCATAAACGAATGTGGGTGTTTATATAAAACAAGGTGCTGAGGGCTGGAAATGAGTTCTAAGAGAGCTCCATCTAGTTTATATGTTACTCAGAGGATTTTGCTGTTAAGTGAAATTAGTTCCATTTGTAAGGAGTTATATTTGATTTTCTATTTAGGAAAGACTGAAAATTTAATTACTGCAGTCTTAGTGTTAATCCACAGTAGTGTTAAATTTAGACCCAGACATGGCTTTTTATGATTTGCAAGATTTCAGATTTCAGCTTTATGACTGGAAAATAGTACAGGGGGAAGCACAGCAGCCAGTCAACCACAGCCAGCAGGGCCAGAATCAGAGAATGCAGCAACTTGACCTCAGCAAGGTTTTTTTTAAGCAATTAAAAAGACCCCAAAAATGTATACTCCAAAAACCAACACACACACACTACATGCCATTGAAACTGTAAAAGGGACAAGAAAGGCAGAATGTAATGAACAGAATTAGAATCAGACTAAGGCTTTGAGCAAACAGCTTCACTGAAACAAAAATACCAGAAAGAGTGGCAATTTTAATACTCAGCTAGAAAAAAGTGCCTAACAATACATACCATGCATGACTGCTATTACTTAACAATGCACAGCACAGAAGCACATCACTCCCATCAATAGCTGGGCACCTCTGTGTTCTTTTGTACAAGTACATCAGTCCCTGTGGCTAATGCAGCCTAAAAGAGAGGTAAGAACAGAGGCTCAGCTGATGCTATTATAAGCAACACGGTGGCTGATCTCCTGTTCTCATGCTTACAGGAACCATCTTGCAGACATAGCACCAGGACTGTACAGCTGTAAATTAGAAAGAACACTGTAAAAATAGAGGAAAATGCACTTGTGTAATTTGCAATATGCATCACAAAAAAAAAAAAAAAAAAAAAAAAGTGGCAATTTTAATATGAAATGTTAATGAGTTTTAACTACGGTTCACCAGGGCATTTTGGACCCATTTGGAAGACTGAATAGTGCCCTAGATCTAGCTTAACATCTTATTCTTTCTTTTGAGTATGATTTTTCATCTAGACAAAGACATCAAGGGTTCAACAAGGCATCCCTTTAATAACTCTAATGCATTATTTGAACTACCATGCAAAAGCATATCCTCCCCTCTTGGCTTTGCGAAACTTGGCTATAAAGTCTCTGGAGTACTTTTCATATGTTCTTTCCTACCATCCACGTCTTCCCTATAAAAAGCAGAAACAAGGATTGGCATTTCAGAAAATGCAGACACAGATTTCAATATTATTCAGTGAGAACAACTGCTCCCTGGGGACTTGGAAAAGATCAGCACAACTATTGCAACATATAATGTAACAGAAATGGAAAAAACCTCATCTTCCATCCTGGATGTTTATTGCATACATTACAGTCCTCTGCACATCCAGCCATCACTGATGCTCGTAGAAATTGTATAAGCAGAAAAAGAACAGAACATTCTCAAGAAAGGCTCTGCAAAGAGAAGTGTGATCTGCAGGGTGTGAGCATGTGTCATTAAACATCTGACACCAGATATCGTTGCAGGTGATAGCGAAATTCACACTGACTTCAATAGCAAGGTTTGGGCTCCCCTCCATCACATTCCATTGGCCTTGCTCCTTGACAATGGGGTTAGTGTTACAGAAATAGACCAAAGCCTTAAGAATCACGTAAAGGAAAAGACTTGGCACTGTGTTTGTATTTGTCCTCAACTACCAAGAGCTCCACTGTTTTGAAAGAGCAGAGGTCAGTGCACACACAACAAATCTGGAGCACTGGTGTCTGGACTCATGGTTCAGCCACACAGGCAGGACCGCACACCCCACAGCCCTGCTGCTGCCCAGAGGCAGCACCAGATGGAGGCACTAGTTTTTCTGCAGCTCTGGGCTTCACCCCTACCCCTGAAGCTGTGCTGCAATTGCAACCCAGAGCTTTTCCAGAGAGTGGTAATAGCTCATTCCCTTGAAATTTTCAGAATAACATTGGCAAGAGACAATGAAGACAAGGTCTTGATGCCAGATCTCACTTAGCCAAGTCAGTGCCTGGCAGCCTTTGTGTGAAACCAGCCCCACTCTCCAAACAGTGGCCTAACATAGCCATTTTGCCATCCTTACTTTGAAAACCAGAAATGGGTAGAACAAGGTAATACTTGGTTTTGGTGCAGCTAAAAGTTCTCAGCAAGCTCAAACACTCTTCCAGTGCCTGGTGGCGCAGCTGGCTGGCCGGCCAGGGCTGCACGTTACAGCTCCCCGGGGAGGTGGCAGAAGGGCAGCCAACAGCTGCCCCCCCAGAAGCATCCCCTGCATCCCAGGCCTTACTGGGTCATTTTGTAGTACACCGATGACACTGTTTGATACCAGATGCTTTTTTTGTTTTTTAAACGTAAATGGAAAATACATTTTATCATGCAGATGTGTACTTGGCCTCCTGACAAAGGTTAGCATCGTGCTGCAGAACACACTGCACAGCATGACAAAGCAAGAAAGTATTCTGTAAATTTTCTCTTTTACAAAAAAAACCAACAACAAACACAACAGTGATGTCCATGCATCAAAAGTATAATAAATATGTAAAGCAAAAATGTACCTTATGCAGCCAATAAATTTCAATTTTCATCTAAATAGTTTTTAAACCAAACGTTACAGTAAGTAGGTTTTATAAGACCATCTAACCTCACAATTCCATATTCAGCTGGTTGTTTTTCTTTACCTGGAACACTACTTACTTTTTCCACTGTTTAAAGATATATTACAAATGTTCTAACAACCTTCCTTAACTGGCACTTCCATTTTTTACAGGTGCCTGGAAGAAATACAGAAGTTTCAAACAAAAAATATCAGACAAATACATGACTCATGCTGCAATATTCCATATCCTGACTACTGCCAGCCTTAGAACTAGGCACATCCTGGGAATATCCCAGCTCTACCCTTGCAAGTCTCCTCCAGAACCATCAAGAAAATATTTTGTCAGGCTTCAAACATCAGCAGGATTTCTGATGTGCTACAGTTAAGTGCCCAGAATAGAAATGCATAACCAAACCTTACTAGACACTGAAGTTTTCCAATTCCCACTGTTCTAGGGTGTATTTTCCTCTGAACAACTTTGAGAACCAAGTGAAAGAAACTTGAAACCAGCATGGAAAATGGTGAAATCTACAAGTCAGAGGGAAGGTGAGGATGTACTGTTCTCCTTGCAGAGCATTTGATCCATCACAGAAGCTCCCCTTTGGGAAAGGCCTAGGGCTGAGTTTTGATCTATTATTCTAAGGCAATGCAGCCTGCCCCCCCTGCCCCTGACCAGAAGGCTGTGAGTTCTGCACGTGTGGAGAGCGTTCCCATCCTCACGCACGTTACAGCCTGTTCAGCAGCTCTTGGCAAGTTCCTGCCCAAATCACTCGCAGCTGCACAGCTCTGCTGACCCTGGCACTCCAGGCAAGTGACGATGGAAGCGCCTGGAAGCGAGTCAGCACAGCTCCATCCATCACACAGGCACTATCTGCCCTGGTCTTTTCTTTGGCAAGTTCCCCCCCATAAAGTTTCTGGAACTGACGCTTTTACAGCACTTAGAGCTGCACCTCTGTTAGTGTTTCCACATTTCCTCCCTCCCATGGTAACACGCTCGTAATAATTCCCCTTTAAGAAAGGTATGTTCAATATACAAGACTAAGAACTGCTTGTTGCAGGGAGTTAATTTGGTAAAAATTAGAGGGTGGCACTTCATTTTCCTATCAGTCCATCAACAGACACTGCAAAGGACTCAACAGGCAGCACTGAAAAGCATCCTTGTTTAAATGCTTTCACAAATTAAATGGAATTAATTGTCTCCATACATCTCATTTAAAGCAGAATGCCTTGGCACATCTTTGTGTATATCCAACAAGCAGAGAGGCTGTAGGACAATGGTTGCCTAAAAGGATCCGATGTTTGATGCTACATGATTGCTTTGAAGCCAGCCTGTGTTTTGGGAATCAGTCAGTCTCTCTGAGCAGTTTTTTATGGCAGAAAAATAGATGTTGTAGAGTACAGTGGGAAGGAAGACATGCCCAGAAAAGAACAGAAAAGCAGAGTAGGTTAAAGACAAACTCGAACGATTCCTTAATCCAAATGCTCTGAACATGACACCCTTCAGCTGGACACTGCTGAGAAGGGCCACATGGCCCTTCAGCAGGCGGGAGGATGCAGTAAGTCATTGCAATCTCAGCTTCATGTACTGGAAGTAATTTACACAATTCACTGGTAGGTGGCAACACTACACAGAGATAAAACATGTGCAGACAGCTTAATAAAGTGACAGTCTAGGCCAGCAGCGAGGTGGACGCCAAAAATATTGTGCACTCAAATCTATGGTTACTTCATTTTTTGAAGAAAGGCAGCTGAGTCCTTCCTTATCCTTTTCTGTGTCCTGCCCACACTCAGAACCTGCGTTTCCTTTAGGGAAGGAAAAACAAACCAGCCAAGCAAAACCAAACCAAACTGAAAAACCCCCACGCCTGCAGAAAGGCAGGTTCCGTTTGGGACTGACAGAAAGGAAAGACCAGCCGGGCCCCCCCGCCAGCGCCCAGGGCCGGGCCGGGGGTCCCAGAAAAAAAACCGGGGGTCCCAGGCGGGGGGGTGGAAGTCCACCCCGCTGCCACCGGCCCGGGGGGCGGGCAGGGCAGGGCAGGGCAGGGCAAGCTGGGAGGGGAAAAGAAGAAGGAAAAAAATAAATCACAAAGATAAAAATAAAAAAGAAACGAACAAAACAAAAACAAACAAACAAAAAAAAACCCCACGAAAAATAAGGAGGGGAAGAAGAAATAAAAGAAAATGGGAAAAAAAAACCCCAAGCCTAAAAATAAAAAACAAAACAAAAACCAAGGAAACAAAAAGCACCGAGCCAAACACAGCAACCACACCACTCAACTCAAGATAAAGGGGGAAAAAAAAAAGATGTAATCCTGTGGGGGGGGAGAAAAGCAAAACT